GGCGTGGGGTGATGATTCATGGCGTTTTTCTTTTTTTTTTGTACCGTGGTGCGCTGCGTTTTGCGGTGGTCCACCACCACGTGCTGCATGCTCCCCAGCGTTTTTTTTTTTTTTTTTGCCACACATACTGTACGCAGACGCACACGGGTCGCTTACGTTATCCGTGACTCTACGGCACTGAACTCGTGATTTCTCACGCCCGTGGTTGTGGACCTCTGCGCTGCAGGGAAAGGATGTGCCGAAGCCATCAGAGAAGATCCAAGAACGCATCGGCTGCCGCGGCCGCGGCCGCGGCCGCCGCAGTCGCGGGGGGAGCCGATGTTCCGGCCTTGACCCCCGGTTCCATGGCGGTACGTGAATCCGGCGGTCGTTCTGCTGCTGCTGCTGCTGTGGCTGCATTGTTGGCACTTGTTGCTCCGCAGCTGTGAACAACATTAGATCGAGTGTGAACGTCGAAGGCTGGTTGGCGGTCCGCCTGGTTTGCCGGAGGTACCTGCCGCCATCCGTGGTGTGTTTTGCTCTTGTCTTGTCTCCCGCGCCCTCTGTTACAACCCCCCCCCCCCCCCCCCCCCCCCCCCCCCCCCCCCCCCCCCCGCGCGCCCTCGGTTTCTTGGTTGTAGCAGGCTCCTGCACCCGTCTCGGGTTCGGCACCCCCCGCAGCCGCGGCCGCCCTGTCGGTGCTGTCGGCGGCTGCGGCAACGCACAGCGTGAGCAACTTCCTCGGCCCATCTGGATTGGGCGGCGGCGGTGACGCCGGCATTGGTGCTACACCGATGCAGCAGCAACAGCAGCAGCAGCAGCAGCAGCAGCAGCAGCAGCTACTGGCGGGGCAAGGCCACCTGGTCCCGTCAACGGCAGCGGCGGCGAGTCGCCAGCCTTTCGGCGGCGTTGGGGGTGCTTCCCCCCCCCGCTGGGGAATTCCGGTACGGGGCGGCGGTCGCAAGCGCAGCGCCGCCGTGGCCATGGCCGGAGGGGGCCCCGCGGACGACATGGGTTCCTTGCGGGGTGGTGGGGGAGGGGGAGGAGGGGGGGCGCAGCGCTCGTACCGACTGGCGTCGCCGTTCCCGCCTTGCTGAAGGGAAGGTTTTGGTTGACGAACGCGAGGCGTCGATATATTGTCTATCGACAGGGCTTTTTCGCAGGAAGGCACAGCGAAAGAGAAGACGCCGCCTCTAGTTTGCCCGCCTCTCAGTTGCCGGCGTATGTATGATAGGAAGGGTAACTCCGTGGAGCCGGCACGACGGAAGCATTGGCCTAGATGCCGAGCATGGCGAACCGTGTAGTCGGAGCGTGTGGTTCCTGGGGGACCGACGCCCTGCGCGCCGCCGAGGCGGCGGCGGTTGACTTTTTCGTACGCGAGACACACCGCAGGCAGGATGCGGCGACCGACGACACGTCAGTCATACCATGAGACCAATCAAGCGCGAGAGGAGATACATGTCGACTTTTTATTTAGTTTTGAGTACGGGACGAACTCTTGAATGTAGGAGGCCCAATAGGGTGAAGAGAGAGGGAGAGGGCTACCGCTGCGCCCGCCGCCGCCGCCGCCGCATCCACCGCCGGGCGCAAAAGGTAGCGTTGGCGATGGAGGTCGAACCGTACGCGGCTGTCTTTGATAACTGGTGTGTTTTGTTTTCGCTATCGGATACCCCCTCGCGAATGTATGTGTGGTGCTTTTGTACGCGTGGTCGGTTTAATGCTCCCTGCTGTTTGGTGTTGGTTGGGTGGCATTTTTTTTTTTTGTCTGGTCGTCATTGTGTCTACACGCCGGATGAGACGATAGTACAAAACTCAAGGCTTGTTTTACTCTTCTTCTACTGCTGTGTGATGTGTGACAGGGTATCGTGAACACCGCCCTCCAGGCGGTTTGCTTTTTGTTTTTTGTGTGTCTTTTTTTTTACCCGTCTCAACCTTTCTCGGCATGCACACGTCGGCGCGGGGGCTTTTCCTCCACCCTAGTATATTATACCGAGCATATATTTACGTATGACGGCGGGGGGGCGATTTTGTACAGAGTTTCGCCGTGCCATCCTTTTCTGCTGTGGTTGGCACACCACCTCTGAAGCACCCAGGAGACAGCTAGCCTAACCCGCACGTGCAGTGTGCCAGCAGGTGGATAAGAGGCAGTACGCGCTGTGATGTCCGAATTATGCATGCCTTAGTTCGACTGCCTTTTTTTTTGTGATTTCGTTTTTGTCATGTCATGTGTCTCCTGGCAAGTACGTAGTGTTTCCCGCCTGCATTCCTGCATTCCTGCACTCCTGCCTTGGTTTTCTCCTACCCTCACTCCAGGTACCATGGTATTCATATCGACTGTTTTGTGAAGTGGTGTTGTAGCGAGACGTTGTCTGTCTGGCTTGGGTTTTGGGGTTCCAGTCTGCATCCTACTACTTGGAAGTACATTCTTTGCTTGTTCTCCGCGATTTCTGGAAGCGCGTTTAGGATTTTATTGCGCGTCTCTCGTTGGACTGATGAAGCAGCAGCAGCGGCAGGCAGGCGGCAGGCAGGCCAGCAGAAGCATGCTGCTGCACGAACGATGTGCGGAGCCGCGGGTGGGTGCCGTCCCCACCGCCGTCGGCGTTTCTACCCACGGGGTGCTCAGTTTTTGTGACAATTTTTGTGGAGGTGGCATGCGCATCGTGACGATATTGGTGAGGTATGCATACCCGGGTGATGAGCGCATGTACGTACGAAACACACCTAGTTTGGGATAATAATAAGTGTACGAAGCACACGGGCGTGAAGCTTTTTAGGGACTGTGGGAGAGCGGGGAGCGGTCGCGAGTAGCAGTTTGTTGTGCGTGCAAAGGTGGTGGTTTGGGGGAGGGGGGAGGGGGGGGGGCTGTATTCAGTTTTGGAGCCGCTGAAGAGGCGAGCTTAGGAGGGAGGGCGATAGGTAAAAGCCTATCTCGGAAATGGAGGTTGTAGCTTTTGGTTGGTGTATCTCTAGGTTTTTCCTGTTTTGGTCTGTTGAAGGCCGCTTTTGCAGGAGGACACCCGCCCTCCCGCTGTTCACCGGCCTTTTTTAAGAGGACTGATTTTGATTGGGCGGTCTGTCGGAAGACATGTTTCTAGCCAGGGGGTTCAACACAGCGAAAACATAACGCATCGGAGAAGAGTGATGGAAATATATCAAAATGCGCGAGTACCATAGTTCGGGACATGCTGGTCGGTAAAGTAAGTTGCTCTGTTTTGCTTTTGACCTGGCATAATTGTGTGTTAGGCGTAGATGACACGGCACTCCACCGTACGCCGCGCGGATCGATTTGTAAGCCTCAACTTCCTCGACATTAGGGGGAAGGTGTGGAGGCTAACGAGGTACTGTACGGTATCCTTACTTGGAATTGTCCCGGGAAGAGCTCGCCAAAAACCTTTGTTGCCCGTGTCTGGTGTAGTTTCCCCAACGAGTGGAATCGGGGGCAAGGTGAGAAGCGTTGTCCCATGGCCGGTGAATATGCGGTGGTTTAACGTTGCGATATAGGGAGGTCGCGGCGGTAATCAACCCTTTGGGAAGATTTGTTGATTGATGGTTTGCTTCGTTGGTTTTTGTGTTTTTGTGCCGGGGGAACAGCAGCAGTTGTTTCGAATCCCAGCAAGTAACGAGTGTACCGTAAGTGCCACGCCAGCAGCCACCAGCCGCAGCAGCACGTAGTGACACGTGGTGGGTGTAGGTTTGCTGTGGTGCCTACCGTGAGGCGCAGTGTTCGGTGTGTCTCGAGATACATCTATAAAGTGAGGTGAAGTGAACTACCTCGTTGTTCGTGACCTGGTTGCTGTCCCACCGTTTGCTGGAACAAAGACTTCAACTACACTGAAAGTGAGTCCATAGTCCGGCAAGGTTTACTCAACACTGACTGCTGTGTTGGTAAAGACTTCGCTTGACATGCAGCACCTTGGGTGCGTTCGAACGGTTCATCATCTCGAACCTCGTGGTAGCCTCGAAAGCCTACATACAACCTGCACGGCCGAAGGCAGAATTACGACACTTCGAACAAACAACCGAATGCCAAACGCCACCTACCCTTCGACCCTCCTGTAATTTGGTCACGCGACGCTTTCGCATGCACGAAGCACTGCATGCTGACGGAAGGAAGGCCAATGCCCTTGAAAGTCTTTCAACATCGACCAGTACCGTCGGCACCAGAAAAACGAAAGCCTCCCCCCCCCCGTCGCTGGTTCAGAAAAAAGCTGTGACTCGTGGTGGGCACCTGCTGCAAGCATCGCCCTCGGAACTCGCGACACAGCAAACGACAGGCGCCTACCCAACAATCACGGACGCGAAACCACGACGTCTCTGTCCTCCTTCTCCTCTCCACAACAATTCATCAAGTTCAAGGCCGGCCCTGCCACCGCCGTCCACCTCCGTCCCCCAACAGCCCGCAATCCCGAGAGGATCGGCACAAGCCCACACACCCCCGAGAACCATCGCCAGTGCTTCAACGCCCCCGCTGCGGGACAGGCTTTTGGGTTTCACCAAGTTCTTCTTCGACACCGCCAAAACGGCGGCGGCGGTGGTGACGATCACGAACGGCTGCAAGGACGATGGCGGCCAACTCGAACAGTGCCGTCTCTCGGCATCGACGCGATCGATTGCTGTCCTAGCAGCAGCGGCGGCGGCGGGCGGCGGCTCCCACGTCAGGGGGCGACCGCGCCCCCGAACACCATCGCCGGACCCGACCGAGCGTCCTAGCGGCGGCGGCGGCGGGCGCCAGCGCGAACAGGACGAGGGCGGGGCCATTCGATGACTTGCGGCGGCAGCGGCAGCCGCTGCTGCCCCCGCGGTCGCCTTTATCCGCGTCCCCGGCAGCAATGACAAACTTCCCAGAGACTGCTGCTGCGGCAACAGCAGCCGCGATCTCCACCACGTGCCACCGCCGCCGCCGTCGCGCTGCTGCTGCTGCTGCTGTTGCTGCTGCGGTCGCTGCCGCAGCGCTGTCATCGGCATGCCCCCGAGCAGGGGGTCCCCACGCTCCCCGTTACCCTTCCCGGTTCCCACGAACTCGCACACATCACCATCACCACCACCAGCAACATCAGAGGAAGCAGCATCATCACCATCCTCATCACTAGCAGCAGCGGCAGCATAGGTAGCAATGGTGCTCTGAGACACCGGAGGCGTATTGGCGGCCGGCGTGGCCGACGGCCCTCTGCCGCCCCTCCGGTCCACGTCTCCCTCTCCTCCTCCCCCTCCTCCTCCCTTGCCTGTGGGCGTCGGCGGCGAGGGCCGACCGGGCGGCCCGCCGCGAAGCCAGCGCCCGGGGCCGAGGGCCGCCCCTCGGAGCAGCGCCACCCGCCCGCCTCCCTCCGGTATCTGGGTCGGGGGCGGCAGGATCTTCGCCGGGCAGCTGGACGAGCCTCCTTCCTCCGCATCCGGGTGCCGGCGGCGTGACGGCGTTTCTTCCCCGCTGCTTCTCTCCCCGTTCCCAGTTGCCCCGTCGCCGCCGCCGCCGGTGTCCTCGTCGAGGTCGACGGCGCCCAGGCAGTCGACGGGATGTCCGAGCGACTGCGCGAAGTCTGCGGGCACGTAGTCGTGCCTCGCCGGAAAGCCGGCGTCGAGGAGGCCGAGCCGTTGGTAGAGGGCCGCCACGAGCTCGGAGCAGAACAGGCCGCCGTCGAACGGTTCTGCTGGGGGCGGCGGGGGCGACGGTGACAGCGGCGTGTGTGAATGGGGCGCCACGGGACCGATCGGCGCCTGGCGCGAGGGCAGGCTGTCATCGGAGGGTGCCGCTGCTGACGCTGACGTTGTTGACGTCGCTGCTGCCGCGTTTTCTTCTGGCGGCGGTGTTGACGGCGGCGGCGGCGCTGCTGCCGCCGGCGGCCTTCCCGACGGCTCCGGGGCGGCGCCCGCAGCGGCGAGGTACACCAGCGCCCTTCTCCTGCGCGTGATCGCTCGCCGAAGTCTCTCCTTCGTGGCGTCGACTCGGACAGCGGCGTCACCGCCCGTCTCGGGCTTAGCTATCAGCTCTAGCTCTTTCTCCAAGCTTGCGATGGATGCCGACAGCCTGCGAAGGAGATGGAAAAAAACACGAAAAACCGCGTATCAAGACGCCCACGGGGTTGGTGGAAGAGCGACAGCGAGTCAGGCGAGGGAGACACGGCGACGACAACACTCGTGCTGCCGTTATCCTACCTCGGACCGAGCGGACAGGACACCGACAGCAAGGGTGGCCCGTGCCCAGCAAAGGCGTGTCCAGTGTGGTCGACGGTCTACCTACTAGTGTAGCCACGGCCTGAAGGCTTCCCCCATCACACCGCTCACTCGTTCCACCTTCGTGACAACGGTGATGCGCCCTTGGTTTCCCTTTGCAGAACGCTTGGCAACGAAAAACACGCCCCCTCGAGGGACACGGGCCACGGACTGGCGATCTATACAAACAAAACACGGGCAGGCCTCCTTGCATGCGGAAGGGGGTATTCAAGGCGAAAAAACACACTTCGAAGAGTTTAAAGGCAGGCAGGCAGGCAGGCAGGCAGGCAGGCTGCTGAGCTAATACACAATCATCTGTCTTGAGATGCCCACGGGTTGTTCCATGCACCACTATACGCCACGACTGACTCCATGGCACAGCAAATGCACTGCTGCACTGCTCTACTGCTGCACCGCTGGACTCCTGTGACAGCGGTGAACCGCACTCAAAGACACTCACGCGACGGTCTCGGCGTGAACCCGCCGTCTCTGCTCCTTGGCGGGATGGAAGCGGAACGCCGCGGACACCATCTGTAGCAGACCCTCGCTCCCCTCCTTGTAGGGCAGGTGCGACACCTCCGACACGAAACGCCGGGCCTCTTCCCGCATCTCCTCTGTGCGATGGGCCTGTGTGCAAGGTGTGTTTTGTGGTTATTGTTTCGATTAGAATCGACCAAGCTACCCGGCTGACCGACGGACGGAAGTGTGGCGACAGATTCAAAAACGAGGGACATAAAACGCTGTTTCTAGTCCGCGTTGCGCGTGTGCGGGTGTTAGCGCGTTTCTCTCTAGACTAGCACCGACTGCCCTATTGCCTCACTAATGGAATGACGTCAGTCTCAACGGGAGGGTGTGCCGTGTGTGTTGTGTCTTCGATGAGCCGCGCAAAGCGGCTGGCCAACGAAATTCAATCAATGCTCCAGAGGTAAACAACGCGAACGAGCACGCCGGGCGCAGGTGTTTCGCATCGACCACGCTACAGTAAACGTTGAACGACGTCGGTCTTGTTTGTGAAGGAAACGAAAACGCCAACAATCTATCGGGCGCATGAACTTTCTTTCGAAGGATGTCGTGAGGACGGCAAGGTAGTTTGGGGCTGCTGGGCAAAGGTGACACGAGAGGAAACCAAGGGAAGCTAATGACCAACGGCTGCACTCCCCTCGCTCGGAAGCACAGCGCGGTTGCTGAGCCAGTAGCAGCAGTTCTTGCGTGCGCACCCTACGGCAGCTGTGTTTCATGATTCTACACCTGGCACAAACGTGTGTAGCAGCGTCTTATGTGATTCCATGTTGTTTTCGATTAACGTCCAAACCTGCAACCGACGAACACAGATCTGCGACGCCGAGCTCCTCCTGACCCTTTCGCACAGAGGCCGGACGGCGACGCCGCTGAACGAAGCTTCGACCATCACATTCAAGCCCTTCTCGTCCTTCACCTTTTGGGTTTTCATGTTTTTCAGGGGGAAGGAGGAAAGGGAGGCACGTGGGTTCACTTCGCGTTTTCCCGATGTTCGTCTTCAACTCGTCCGTAGGCGATCCGAACTTTGAAGCTACATGTACGTTTTTCATCGCGGTTTAGATCGCGAGGCCCTTTCGTCAGCACTCCGCTGGCGCGTTCTCTCCCTTTGTCCGCGTTCTGTCTGTCTACTACGGATGTCTACCGCAAGCGAAGGCCCGTCTTTCTCAGCCAACGACTTCCTTCGTCTTTGTCAGTAATCTCCGGCCACCGCTCCCCTGCCCCCCACCGGTTCCGTGCGGCTTCCCTCTCTCACCACGACGCCGATATGGTCGAAAGGAACCCCGCCAACCACCTTGGCGGCAGCGCAAATCGCCGCCCCGAAGAAGCCTCCCATCTTCAGGCATGGCCGGTCGAAGAAGACCAGGTCGCCAGTGTCGAGGCCTGCGGGACAGCAACAAAACGTCGCGGGTCTCTTTCTCTGCCGAGAGGGTGTGCTCGGAGTCAATTGCGTGCCTGGCAAAAAGGGGTGACGTCCAATTTGAATGTCCGCTGATTGTACCGCGGAATCAACTTGGCGACGTGTAGTCTAGTCTTCCTGTGTGCGTATTTATTTTTCCTGATAAAACTGCACAGTCTGCTGCACAACTGCAACCGGCGTGCGTGCGCTCGAGATGAGAAACAAACGTGGTGTGCAGCACGGAGAAAGGACGTTTGGACGGAGCAACAAACTTGTAGTTATTGGAGGGGGCTCTGCACTAAAGCTCGTTCACGGCGGCGGCGGAATAACAGCACGACAGAAAGCGGTTTTGTCCTAAACAAAGGTGCACGTCATGCAACAAAACCCCGCGCAAGGCGTAGGCGCACTTGCCTTCCAGAAGATCTCGGACATCTCCCGAGAGAGGCGGTCTGCCACTTTCCTCTCCAACCTGTGCGAGTGCCGTTTTGAGAATACACGTCGATGTACGGTATAATATGCTACTACAGAGTACCAGGCGCTTTACAGCCTTACAGCAGTAGGAGTTGACCGAAAACGCGGCGGGATTACGGTGTACGCTCCGAAGATGAGCCCTGCCTTGCCTAGGCTAGCCTTGCCGACCAGCTAACTGTGTGTGCATTCCCCTTACGTGCATCATCGCAATGGGATAGCGGTGTGTGTCATGGTGCCAACGTTCCCTGGTTTACTGAGCTGCAACCGCTTACCTCAGTCATAGCTGTTCCTGACGGCGTGTGGCATGTCATCTTGGTGACAAGGCGGTGACGCGGACCAAAAGCGGACAGGTTCGGGGAAGGTTCGGGGTTCTACCTGTGCTGTCCCCTGTGCACGCCCCTGCTGTGTTGATGCATTCCGCCCTTCTTGCTCTCAACGCACCACACACACATCTGCTGTGTGTGTCATAGCCTGCTGCTGGAGAGAGAATGGTTGCTGCTGTCAGCGATGCCAATCCGTTCTTCCAAGAGTTCGAGGTATGTATCTACATGTCGGATGGATGTAGAGCGCAACCCCCAACAATGCAATCTATTTCCAGATGAAATGTGCTCTTGCAGCTTGCCTTTGAAGAACGTGCTCTCTCGATACTGCTGCGCCTGGTTCCCGACTTACCGTGTGATCACGGCGGGCTTTAGCAGGGCAATCAGTGGGTGGTATTGTTGCGATTACATGTGCTAATGCACTTGCACCCTCAACGCGCGGAACGATATATCAGTCCGCAGGACTTGAAATGAAGTGAGATCGCACCGTTAGCCGCTCCGCTCCCTGCTGCAGGTAGGTGTCGATGGAGTTTTCGACACCAAGGCATCATGTCACCCTGTATTTACAGCAGAAGTGCCTTGTGTACTCTTTTGATAATCCTGTCTTTTAAACTCATGAATAATATCGATAGTACAAATACGATTTCAGAGAGCATTCGGTATGAGCTGCTATGCACTGGCCCATGGGCAGCTTTTTCAGGGTTGCTTCTACAGCGGCACAGCAGTAGGGTTTGGGTGTCATGTGAACCCATGTATTGATTTCACAAAGTGCGGTTGTGAGCGTAAGCTTTGGGAGTTTAGCATACCAGGGTAGGAGTGGAATAGCAGATACATTGGTGTGGTCATGTTAGGCGGTGACTGGTTTCAGCGGTATTTTCTACTCACCGTAGCTTTGGTCGCACCGCCTGGGGCTTGCTTACTTGCTCGGAGGAAGGAAAGACTCAGCAGGGTAGACTGAGCAAGCTACTTCAACTAAGTTGGGCGGCGGTGCATGTTTGCCGTCGGTTGTTTTCGTCAGCATTAATAGCATGATTTTACCTCTGTGCAATGCTCACTACATTGTCTAAAAGTGCGCTGCCTAGCGTCGAACCGGTAGAATGCATGGACCACATATATGCCGTTTTCCGCTTGGCCTCAAACCAACGGAAACACGAGCAAAGACCTTCCGCACGTAGGCGGTGTCCCTGTGCGAACGGTAGGTAGCAACGTCACTCCTATCCGAAAGAGGCGATGCGTGGTCAATAGTCGAATGACGAAAATACTAGCAAGCAACGATAGCCGACACCGTTCCGCGTGCCCCCCGCCCCGCGCGGACTCACATGCAAGGCGACGTTCGTGTCCCACAGCGTCGGCATGCGAATCCGCAAGACTCACGATATTCCCGTGGTACACGAGGTGAGTGATGGGACGGGTCGGAATAGTTGTTGGGCAGGAAAGCCGACCATTTTTTCGTCATCTGGCAGCTGCTCTGCCTCCGAGCGCACACGCGGCCTTGGTTTTTCGACACGGTTGATGTTGCTTTTTTTCGGGAAGAACGAGTTTTGTTTGGTGTTCATGAGTTCCTATTACGTTCAGCCCTCGATAACGCGTGCGGTGTATCGTCGCTGTCTGTGTACGATTTCGGGTACCAACGATATCTACGACATCTACGATGACGATGACGACAACAACAACGACCTCTACAACATTTACGACAACGCCGACAACAACAACAACAACAACAACAACAACAACGACGACATCTACTACTACAACAACAACGGCATCTACGACATCTACTACTACGATAACAACGGCATCTACGACGACGGCAACACTATCAGCTGGTCAAGACACCCTCGGGAGAAGAGAGCCCCGCCGCTCTGGCCGGGGTGCCGCCCGCGGCCGTGCTGATCGCCGTCGCCGGGGAGCATACTCTCCGGCTGCGATACGAGGAATGCATCGGAAGGTAAGGGGAAAACACGCGTAGTGTCGGGGAAACCGGAGGCGGTGAGGGATAGATTCATTCGGCATTTGCGGAAGGTTGGATTTTGTTTGTCGAGTTTCTTCTTGCTCAGCAGTTAGGTTTTTTCGTATTCGCTACAGCATTTGTTTTTGTTGGTACAGAACTTGTCGAAATATTTGGCGCGTGTGTTTGTTTCTTCCGACAATCCCGGTGGCTCACGGTCGTACGCTCGATCGGTTCTAGGCAAAGGGATGTTTACGGTTCGGCTGTTTTTGCTCTTGTGTCGTTTCGGGTGTCCGGGACTACGTGTGCGTCCCAGGTGTCGACGTCGCTTCCCACTCCGGAGTGGAGTGGCGGATCGACAGGACAGGACAGGACAGGAACCCTGTCACAACGTACTCTAACAACTTGCTGTAGTTCTTCATGGCCCGCTGCCATGGCGTGCTGCTCTTCGCGTCGCTCTCGTGCGCAGGATAAGCGCCAGGGGACGGCCGATCACGCTCGCCTTCCGGCAGCTGCACGCCGCGATTGACGGGGGAGTGACCAGGCGGTACTGGCAAGGTTACCTCAGGCTCAAGACAGGTACAAGTAGGTTGGAATAGGGTTTGTGGTGTTGTTTGTTGCTCTCGGTGTATGCTTTGATGTACGCGTTGAGCGTTTTTGTTCTTTTCGCTTTGGGGGACGATGGGAGATAAACGTACGTATGTGCTGGTCGGGTTGTGTTCACTGCTGTCTTTCGGAAGTGGCAGAAGATCCCACACGCACGAGGTACCGCACCTCCTCTGGATTATGGTGTAGAAAGGTGCAACACCTGCCGTGATGTAGAGGCAAGGAATTTAGCTCAGGCTGAGGGCGCACCGCAGGCCTCCATTCGGCGCCTGAGAGCGAAGCGGCGAGATTGGGGCCTACTCTCAAGTCGACACGACAGTGTCAAATGTTGGCGCGCGACGCAGGGGCCGCCGCTCGGCCTCCCGCTCCGCGAAGCCCACCGGGAGCCCTCTCTCAGCGAGACGCCGCCGCTCGGGGCTCCGGGCGTCCAGCGACCGGCGAGCTGCACGCGCCGGCGGGATGGCTCAAAACCACGTCGTCGCACTTTTTCTCTAGACCTCGGACCCCTCCGCTCGGGACTGTAAAGAACGAGCGATCTTGCTGGGCGGAACTGTCTTCGGGGTGTTTCTGGGAACTTGAAGTTATCACAATACACGGAACATGTCTATATTTAATGTAACAACCACATACGCATAGCCCGCACATGTCTGCTTACCACGAAATGGTACGTAAGCGCTTTATGCACCATCCATCATGTGCCCATCGTGTGCCAGGGACTGCTGTGCAACACTGCTAACTTGCAATACGTGCGTGCGACCGCGCGGGCAAGCGTCTCATCTCTCCCAAAAATGTCGAAGGGAGAGCAACTTCCAGGATATTCCGAGAATCATTTCTGCCGGAACTAAATGAAAAGACTGAAGACGGCAACAGGCTCTCGGAACTCCGAACGCGAATCACATGCATCTTGCTTATGTCTCACATCAGCTCGGTGCGCTGGATCTCTCTGCTGTAGTCGGGAGGACGACACGGTGTGTGTGTGTATGTGTGCAAAACGATGACTGCTGTATGTTCCTGTAGTCTCACGGGTAATATAGCTATATGGTACAAACCACACTTGCACACACACAGACATGCTGCCCCCTCACGGGGTCCCAGTTCATGGCAGATAGAAGTATTTTGTGTTTTCAACCGCACTAAGACTGACGTCTTTTCGTTGGTCAGCCGGTTAGGGCGGTCGAATGCTAATAATCGATAGTAGAAACACACAAAGACAGACAGGTGCACACACATACAGCAGGGTGTGCGCCACAAGCTTCAACCTTTGTTCTACAATTGTCATTTTGTTTCAGAGAAGCCGGTAGCCTAATACGGAGAGTATAGGAGCATGATGACGCACGCTTCTCTCGACTTCGAACCTGCGTCTATCGTTCTTTTGCTGTAACGAACACCCGTCCCACTTGGTATGTGTTTCAAATTTGTAAAAAATCTGCAAGCTTACCTAATCACATAAATAGGTTATACCGTTATACCGTTCGTTTCGTATGCACAGCGACCCTCAAACGGGGGACGAGGGGGGCGGTAGCCCCCCGCGTTCACCGCCCTTGTATAAATACATGTTTCTTCTCAGATCTACCGATCCAACACCGGGATAACACCCTTCCCTTTTTTGGAATACCGTACCGCGTGTTCGCTTTTTCAGTCGCTAGAGTGTCATCATCGGGTTGTGGGACCGTGTACAACCCCCCACGTAGAGTTTGTCCCTCCGCCGAGCTGTTCTACGAACACTTTTTTCCCCCGTCGCCACCGCCGTCGCCATCGGCATCATATGCATACCTGTGTGTAAATCACTGACGCCCTCCCTCGGCGATGGTGATTCTTGGAGGCAGGTGACAGTGTTTGGACCGGGCTGTTCTACGTGCTTCGAGAGGACGGAAGCTTTTCGTCCTTCCCGTCTAAGGACATCCAGGGGCAGACCCCCGTGAAGGTACGGTAGTCGGTGGATGATACGAAGTCAAGGGACGTGCTACACAACACCAAGGTGTTATGGTAACCTGCTGCCGTTCGGGTAGAGTATGCGGTGCGCGTCGAGTACCGGCGTCGTGTTGCGGTTGTTGAAGTTGCTGGTATTTTTCTGTTGTAGTTGTTGTAGTAGTAGTTGTTGTTGTTAATTGTTGTTGTTGTTCTTATTTGTTTTCGAGATGTGTGTTCTGTACTATAACGTCTCCTCTGGGCAAGGGACGCTACTTGGTGCTGATGCTGCTGCGAAAGAGTGAGACCAGCCACGCGACCGGCTTGGCGCTTCTTTACCACCCCGCTTGCGCTTGCGGGCTCTGAACGCTCACTAGTCCAATGGTTTCATTTTGGCCTCTCAAGCACGCGCCTTCCCAAATTCGCAACCCCTATCCTAGCTCCCGACAACGTTTCTGATCCTTCCCGGCCTCGGGCTCAAAAACCAGATGATGCGAGTCGGCGGCGACTGCACTCTCATTCACGGAGAAAGCCTGAAGCAGTTTCTGGGAGGGGATACCGCCGTTTCCGGTGCCACTGGAGGCGGCGGCGGCGGCGGCGGCGGCGGCGGGCCAAGCGGCGGAGTTGGCGGTGGCGGTAGCGGTAGTGGCGGCGGGTGGGGGGCGGGTTTTCACGAAATCAGCGGAGGCGGCGGTGCGGGAGCGGTGGGTGCTGGGGCGGGTGGGGACGCGTGGTGGTTGGAGTGCTTCGCGGTAAGTGAGAGGGCAGCAGGGTGTGTGTGTGTGTGTGTGTGTGTGTGTGTGTGTGTGTGTGTGTGTGTGTGTGTGTGTGTGTGTGTGTGTGTGTGTGTGTGTGTGTGTGTGTGTGTGTGTGTGTGTGTGTGTGTGTGTGTGTGTGTGTGTGTGTGTGTGTGTGTGTGTGTGTGTGTGTGTGTGTGTGTGTGTGTGTGTGTGTGTGTGTGTGTGTGTGTGTGTGTGTGTGTGTGTGTGTGTGTGTGTGTGTGTGTGTGTGTGTGTGTGTGTGTGTGTGTGTGTGTGTGTGTGTGTGTGTGTGTGTGTGTGTGTGTGTGTGTGTGTGTGTGTGTGTGTGTGTGTGTGTGTGTGTGTGTGTGTGTGTGTGTGTGTGTGTGTGTGTGTGTGTGTGTGTGTGTGTGTGTGTGTGTGTTTATGCACTACCGTCGCGGGTTTTGGTATCGCGGGTCTCGGGTGTGTGTGTTGGGGGCTTGTTTTTTTCTCGGCGTTTTTTTTGTGTGTTGATCGGTAAGGTTGTCGTTGACGGATCACTTCGGCTCCTGTTGTTGAGAGCTACGGAACATCGCCACCACTCAGGTCGTTCCTCGTCCTGCAGATACCTAATTTAGCATGTATACCCTTCTTCCCCTCGCTCCTCGACAAGCTGTTGCTTAGACATGGGTTGTAGTGAAGGGGGGGGTCTTTCTGGCGAGCAGGGCTAGACTCACCCTCAAGGGATGACCGAAACCTTCTTGCTGCTGCGCATATCCGCCGCGAGGCATGCGCGTGGTGGTGTAGTTGGGTCGGCACTGATGGGGTCAGGCGAAAAAATGTAGATGCGCGGGCCTCTGGCCGTCGGCGTAGGCAGCGATGCCCATCTCATTTTTTGTGCGCGGAGGCAGACACCGTCAGAAGGTGGACGGGAACTATGTACACGGCCCTAGGTTGGCTAGAGGGCGCTGCATTGCCTCAGTAACCTGGCTTCGCCATCAAAGGAGGAGGGAGCAGGTGGCGACGAGCTGAACTGGGCTGGTTGACCCCTTCGGCGCGAGAATTTTTATTTTTCAGACCGAGAACCTTGAGTGCAACGAGGGAGAAAGCGAGGAACCGACTGGGAAGGACAGCAACGAGAGCGTGTACGGACGGAGCAGGTCGAGTGGCGTTATGCTCGGGCTGACTACAGCGGCGCCGGACGGAGCAGCGGCACCGGAGCATGCGGGCGACATCGACCCGTGGCGCACGGACAAACATTTATATCTGATCTGTGTTGTCAATTTTTCTCGTTTTTTTCCTGATTTTCGGTGTTGGTTCTATGTGATGACGTCGTCACTGGTTTTGTAGAGAGACCCGTCAGAGATGGCGTGGCTAACCCGGGTGCCTTGGTTATGTGCCTGATCGTGGAAGACCCCTTCAATGTGGAACGATTCTTAGCTAGTGTCGATATTTTTCACTGCAGTGCCTAACACAGACGATCGGGAGAGATTCGGGTGATTGTCAATTGCTGCTATGATGGCTTTGGTTGGTTGTTCTTTTTCACTGTACGGCCGCAGACACATTCTGACAGCACTTCAGACAGCAGCTTTGTGCCCCGCCAGCTGCTTGTTCCATGCCTACCATGGTGTTTTTGTACAGACAGCACTTCAGACAGCAATATGCTGTAGTCGACAATCTTACGTTTTGGTAAAGAGTGGGACAGGGAGGGGGTGATGCTACTGTAGTCGAACGGTGGGACGGACGTGCAGTTCAGTTTTGGGCACGCATACGGTGCTGCAGGGATTTTTAGGTGTACCTCTTCGGGCTCTTGGATACCTTTTTCTCGTTATATGTGTGCGTGTTCTTTAGATCCTCAGATGGCTCTAGCACTTTCGTGACCACGGGCTGAGAGTCTTTGCTAGATTTTGGCATTTAGCAACTGACATACGGTTTAATGTGAAGACAACAACATACCTGCGGGTTTGATGTTGTTGTCGATTCTGATTCCTCCAAGCCACATGTAATGGCAACGAGCTTCAGCGCGATCGTTCAATCTACCGTCAAGTGTGGTTCTGTGTCACCCCCTCTCGGAAGGTCGTTACTCGCAGTACTATGTACCTTCACCGTGCGACCTTGACTTTTCTGCTGAGGAACTGATGCCCGCTGCCTCACTTTAGAATTGTCTCCACGTTGCCAGTCTTCAATATTGAAGTAATTTGAAGGAAGGTGGGGTTCGTTTTTCTCCCTGTTAACACAGTCAACTATTCTGCTGTTTTCGCAAAAGAATGCGCTGCAAGTATTGTCAGAGAGAGGCATGCCGGGACTTGAATCCCCGACCTTATCCATCCACAGGAGAAATACGCCAACATCTTTTGTGTTGCCTTGAGGGTTTGCCGGTCACCAAGCATGGGGCGCAATCACAAATTGTCGTGGGCCTTTGTTTCTTCTCAGGCCGACCAGCGAAACCCATGGAGTAAGTCAGAGCCGGATCGAAGACGTCACTACTGCAGGCGTGCCGAAGGAAAACTCTCGAAAGCGGAAGTTATGAACACCTGAAAACGACCCGTAGGGTGTGTTTGGATGCAAAAATAGCCTGTTCTTGTATTCTTCTGTTTCTTCTCCTGTATCCGCTGAGACGTTTATTCGGAGATGAGTCTGCACCCATGGCATACGTAAACAGCTGTTTCGCAATACCAAACAAATTGTCAAGGATTCATTTGTATGTTCCATTTGCTTGTTGCGTTCCTCCCTATCGCTACTGTAGGTTCTAGCGCCGGACGGGCTGCAGCTGTTCCGCGCGCCCTCTCCCTCCGCCAGGCTCGACTGGGTGTCGGCCTTCGCCGTCGTTACCACCGCCCACGAGCTCGGACTTTGCAAGACCCCGCCGCTGCCGCCGCCGCCGCCGACACCGCCATCGCCCACGACCGCTGCGGCGACGGCCGGTGACGCACGAGAAGAATCGTCGGGAGCGCCGAGGCCGTCGAGGTTTGGGAGGACGTGGGGGTACAGGGGCGGGCGGAAGAGCGATCCGGAGGGGGAAGACGAGGAGGAGGAGGAGGAGGAGGAGGAGGAGGAGGATCAGGGAGGGGCGTGGGGGGAGACGGCGGCAATCGGGGGCCGCGTCGCGGCGGCGGGGGTGAGGGCTAGGGTGACCACCGCGTCGCCCCCGAGGAGAGTGATGCAGGGCTTCCTGAGGAAGAGGGCGGCGGCGAGGTCGTGGGGATCGTCGGGGGTGTGGGAGTACCGCTGGGTGGTGTTAAGGGTGGGTCGGGGCTCGGAGCGGCGCTCTCCGGCGCAATGCTTCATGTGTGTGTGTGCGTACCGTTGCGAATCCACTGGGTGTTCATGCGCCGTTCGAGTATACTCGTCGGCCGTGTGGTCCACAAGCGTTTTTTGCTCTATAAGGGACGTAGGCAGAACAAAACGAAGAACGGCGCTACCGTTGAGCGTGAGCGGCGGCCGCGGGGGTCTGGTCCTTGCCGCAGCGTGAGAGAGCGATGGAGTGTGGGGGTTTGTTTTTCAACCTCTTCTTCGGGGGCGTCGGGACTGTCAATAGCGAGATGGGATGTTTTCGCGCCTTCCAACTTGTCCATCGAAGTCGCCATCGCACCTGCCTAACCTTAAGGTTTGATACTTTTTCCGATCGCAACTGGAACACTTCGACGGCTCATCGACCACTGTTGTGTACTTTGCGTGTGTGTCTTTGCTTTTTCGTGGCGACGCGCGTCCAATCAATCGGCTGCTGTATTTTTTACCCAGGATGATGGGCGGCTGCTGTGGTACCTCTCGGTGCCCGCGGACCCCTGGGAGGTGCCGAACGGTTACCTCTGCCTCCGCGGCGCAAGGGTTTCGTTTTCAGAAGGCGTTTTGCTCAGGAACAACCTCCGGGAAGACGAGGTACGGCAACGGTTCCCGTAGCCGCGATACGCACGTATCCAGACTTCTTTTCGGTTCTTTTTGGCTGTTCGAGTCGAAGAACGTGTAAGCTGCGAGAGCGTTTTGGAATCGTCACACTTCAGCTGGTTGCGAGTCACACTTCAGCTGGTTGTGAGTCACACTTCAGCTGGTTGCGAGTCCTGCCGCCTGCTTTTATTTTCATCTCGCATCGCCCCTTGATGACGCTGCTGTCTTCTCGTGAGCCCACTCCGGAGTGATTACTTGTAGCAACGTACACATGGTCGGGGTGACTGACTCCTCGGTAGTGTTGGCTGCGGGGTAGTTTCGTAGTGCGTGCAGGTGGTTTAAAAATGAAAACCACGGTTTAGGAAACATCGTAATGATGGTTTATATGCCCTTGTATCGTATCATTTTTTTTCTATCCTGGGTTCCTATTTTTTCGGTCCTCACCAAGAACTAAGAGCCGTTTCCCTCGTGCGCGCTGAAAGGTGCAGGGGGACCGGCTGTGCCCGTTCGTGGTGGATGTCATCGAACACGGCGATGGCGACGGCGACGGCGATAGCGGCGGTGACCCAGCAGTGCTGCAGCAGGCCCATTGGCAACAACAACAACAACAGGAGCAGCAGGAGCAGCAGGAACAGCTGCGGAGACGTCGCGGGCGGGGGCAGCAGCAGCAGCAGCAGCAGCAGCAAGAGGAGGCGAGGCAATCTGACCGACCGAGAGCACGTTCGTCGGAGCAGCCACAACAGCAGCGAGAGGGAGAGAGGCGGGTGGTGTTCCTGAGCACATGGGGAACAGAGGAACGAGCGGAGTGGGTCGAGGCTCTCTCAATGTGAGCTAGCTAGCTTGTTTTCGGGCTCTCCGAGGGTGCTTCGGGGGCGGCGGCGGTGGGGGGTAATTGGATTGGGTTTGGTCTTCGCGGGGCTGCTTTTTTTTTCTTTTCATCCAGAGTGCAGCTGCTCTTGCGTTGTTTTTGGCGTGGTACTCCTCTGTCGCTATCTCTGTCTCTGTGCACATCTGCCTGTCTGTGTGTCTGTGTGTGTATGTGTCTGTCTGTCTGTCTGTCTGTCTGTCTGCCTCCCTTCCATCACCTTCTCCGTGCCCTAGGGTGAGCGATGCTCGAAAGACGTGGGAACAAACAAACGACTGTCCTGCGTTGCCCCCCGGGCCTGTACGTCTCATGGCTGGGGGTTTGGCGCCATCAAAGCACAATTGTGTGGGACTGACCCTCCCTCCCTCCCTCCCTCCCTCCCTCCCGCACGCAGAAGGTCGGCGGTGGATCATCCCCATCATCCCCCTTCTTCCCCTCATCCCCCCGAAGCGTGCCTGCCCTCCCGCAGCTGTTTGTCGACGTCCTTTTGGCGTTCCGGTGTTCTCTCTTCAAAGGTTGAGGGCCCTTGTTTTGTTCTCGTGGTTCGCGTTTGCAGGTACACACAAAGCAGCGGCAGCGGCGGTGCCGGTGGTGGCAAGAACGACCCACGCGCCGACCGCGGCAGGGAGCTGAGGCTCAGGGCGGAAGAACGGCGAAGGAAGGGGCTTGGGCGCCTCTTGGAGACGCCGGAGGAGGTCTTGAGCAATCCTCACGAGGCCTTCGCCCTGCTGGTCGGAAGCGGCAGCGGCGGCGGAGTGACGAGGGGCGAGTTCTGCGAGGTATGCTGAGTTCCCCCGGCGGGAAACGTTGTGCTTCCCTGAAAGATGCTGCGTTTGGTGAAAGGCAGGGAGTGCACCGGCCAAGGTGTGGCGTGCATTCCGGGGGAGCCTAGTTTCCACGACACACGTATAGACAGAGAGGGGCACCTACCTGATCAATGATGTTGTAGAGTAGTGGGAAACCTTGAGTGTTTTCGACAGGTTGCCATCGCAGTCCAGCGAGAACACCGTCCAGCGAGAATTCTCCCAAGAAGAATCTTCGGGCCTCGACACACAGCGCACATACACCGATAGGCGTGCCGGCCAACCATGCGCCGCCTGACGGAGGTCACAAACTCTCTCGCCGGCGTTGTAGGCACTGTTGTTGCGCACCGCCAACGACGAAATCAACTTGTTGTCACCCTGTAGCGCTGGGGGTACTCTTGCCCAGCAGCCACGCGCACACATACTCACACACAAAGCACCCTTCTGCCCCATCTCCCAAGACTCTTTTCTCGAACTCGGGGCACCGCGCCGCCCGCCCGCTCGCCGCCGGGCACCGCTCGCCTTTTGGCCGCTGCTGTGTTCGCCCCAAGCATGTCCCTGCGGCGGTTATTTCGCCGCTTGGTCGAAAAACGAAATGCCTGCGGTGGTCGGCAGCAAGCCGTCATGCACGTGCCTTCGATTGACCTGCTGCTGTGCTCGTTGTTTGTTCTTGTGCCGGGCTGGACTGGTGGCTTGCGTACCTGAAGCGTACGGCCCTGTATGCCTGTATGATGTAGTGAGCCCCCCCCCGCCCCCGTGCTTACAACTGTCTCTGGAATTGAAAGCACCAGAAAATAAAGCAAGTCCTACGCAGCTGTCATCCGTACGTAAGGAAGTATGCACAAGATGTCGAACACCCTTACCAGGATGCAGCGCACCCTTCATGCGACTCGCCGAATACCTCACGCGGTTCGCGCTTGGTGAGGTCCGATGAGAACCCGGCGTGCTCCGTCCCGGCTTTGTAGGGATGCGAGGTCAATGGTCTAACGACTACGGCATGCACGAC